GAAAGCAATGAAGAGTATGAAGGCAGCGAAGAAAAAAGACAAAGGCACAAGCAAAGAGACAACCTCCAAAAAAAACAAGACTCCAGTTTTGAAAAGGCCAGCTGGCAACCAACAGGGACAAAAAGCTTCTTTGAGAGACCAAACTGCTGCGGCCAAAGATGATGGTGGTCCAGAAGGAGAAGAAGAAGAAAATGTTGAGCAAGATCCAGAGGTCAACCCTGGTGATGGACAAATGGTACAAATTACCACAAATCCAGAAAGTGGAACAAGATGCTGGGCAGCGACCAAGTGCCACAGGAGCTGAAAAATATGTATCATGATGGCTGGCATAAATGGTTTCACTTTGGACATAAACATAATTTCTTGAAGGTTGATCACACGCGCATAGGACGATTACACATTGGGCACCCGTTTCTTGTTCGGGGGGTAGGGGGATGTTAACGTTCCTTCACCCGCGCACAGGATGATCACACATTAACCGCCCATGTCTGGCTCATGGGGGTATTGAGGGGGTGGGGATGATAACGTTCCTTCACACGGACAAGTTCCCAAAGCAGCACACTTAGCAAACCAACACGGTTCGTGACGCCCATTGCACAACTTCCCTGCCATCCCAACTCGCCACTTCCCACAGAAATCGGCGCTCCTAGGCAAACCCGCATCCAAACACTGCACCGTTAACCCCGGAGCCCTGCAGTGCAAACGCATACAGTACCCACTTCACGCGCAAAGTGAACCCAAATTTACGCCCGAAACAAAACCACCCCGGCCCGCCCCAACCCACCCACTTCCCAAGAAACCAGAAAATCATTGAAAAAAAACAAAAAAACAACGTTTTTATGGGCGTCGCTAGCAAAACAAGGTGGCAGCGGCAACCGAGAGCAGTGTAGAACAAGAATTCACCGAAAAAAAAAGGGAAACAAAAGGAAAACATTCGGCGAACTGCAGCCAAGAGCGCCCAGGACAAAACCACCAGTGAAACAAAACGGAAACAGAAACAAAATGACCTTGGGAGACCAAGCGGTAGCAACAGCCAAAAACAGTTCCCCTAAATTGTATATACAAGTACAGTAATTATTATGCACTGGCGCCGCATTCTGGACTTGACACTCACCAATTGTGCTGGCCCCTCGATAGGGGCGCGATTGTCTGGGAGTCTTTACTCAGCATCTGTCTGACTGCCTTGCGAAGCTCGCGACACATGACACGTTAATTCCTGCTTTCCATACAAGTTGAATCCCTCCACACAGGTAATAGAGTTGTTTGCAGGCATGGTTCGTTGTTGGTAAAGATGTACGAAGCGCGCTTGCGGCTCAACGCGAGCTGCGCGCTCTCAAATCGTAAGCGTAGGAACAGCTGCCTTCGGTTTCAAAAACGAATCACATGAGGCGACAGCACAACACCATAAAGATCCATAAAGTCATAGAGCCAACATCACACTTCTAAGGGAGCGCGCAACTTGGGCCTCTCACGATCTTCTGGGATGCCACCCTGGGCCCCCTAGATGGAGCAAGGGAACTGGGTACATCTGGGTACGCAACATTGCGCCGCCTTCCGGTTTGGGAATTGCTTCGAATCTTCTCTTTGACATTCTTTGACCATCTGTTCAATGCCGTTGGCAATGATCTTGAAAATCAGGTCGGAACGTACTTTTGATCCAAGCTTCGTGCAAGGATGTGCAACGAACAATTTATTGACTGCATAGTTCCAAAGTTGGACATGTTATTTGTGCCGCGTTGAGCGGTCACACACATTACATGAGATGCGGGGCATACTGCGGTCAGGATCGCGTGTCTCCACTGTTCATGATACACTTTTCTACAACACTTGAAAACTGTCATATGCTGGGGATCATGTTCTACCTAGGCTTTGATTTGTGTTTTGATGTGTGTGAAACAATAAGGGGCGGAAAGTACTTGTGCAGCGACAAAATACAAACGAGGTTTGCAAGCGGCAAGACAAATTTCAACAACATGTTTTTGCTTTTTGACGTTCAACTCTACTAGCATCTGTTTCTTTTTTGGAATTCCCGGGGAGTGAAACAATCGTCGTGCTTACCGTGTGGTTTGACTGCGTAAATAGTATTAAGTAATAATATGCTTTGCGCTTTGCAATCCACACATATAGTATGTATGTTGCGGCGTTGTCTGTTCGTGGCTGCGCCAAAGCATCAAAAATTGCAACATTCTCCTGCGTTTTAGGAAATTTGTCTTTCTGTCGAAACGTGGTTTTCGCCGCTCGATGATGTTTGAACTCTTTCCGTAGCAGCCCCAAGCGCTGCAACATCGCCCACCTGGAAAGCCTTCGTTGAATTGCTCGGCCCATCGCTCGCAACATACTGCAAAAAGGAAGAAAAAGGAGCACGCAAAAATTTAAACGATTGACAGATGATTGACATCGATGAACATGGGTACGGGATGGTACGGGTCAAACTTTCTGACCCAAGGCACAACAAGTTGTTGTCACTTTTAAACATTGACAATCCATGTTTTGGCTCCCCTCCAGGTCTGCATGCCACTTAAAAATGCCGAACAAGAAATGACCCCACCACAGGCTCTGGTTCTAATGCGCTTCGAACATGCATGGCTTGCCAAATGCAGGCGGCACAAATGAAAGGAATGACACCCAGAAAGCAATGAAAGCCAAAAACATAGATCACCAGACGGCCATGGATGTGATACACGCTGAGGGACACCCCCAGTGCAACTGAAAACACACCCAGGAAAGCTTTCATAGATGCAACTGAGGCTTGCATGACAGCACAATCTGTCAAACAAATTACATAAATACATACTGGACAAGTGAAAAAACCTCGGTCTAAAATTTGAACATGACCACCAGCCTTGGAGGAAAAGCCAACGGAAGAAACTTGCCAGAAAGGAAGCAACCGGAAGATAGCTTGGAGACAAATTCAATACAATGTGGGCAGGTACGTGAAAAATCGTGAAAAGAAATATCCAGAAACCCCCAACAGCAAACCCAACAAGATCAACAAGCAAATAAAAATATCAAATGAAAGGTGCAAGCAGATCCTACAGGGAGACAAAATAGGAGCCTCGGAGTTGCCTCCTCATTTGGCACGAGCGTTTTCTAGCGCCTTTCGACAGCTTTCGACCACTGCGAGAACTCCTTCGTCTGCGACCATCGCGAAATATTGTGCATATCGTGTGAATACTAGTATCGGTGAATACATGTGTATCGTTCGTTCACGTTTAGGATTGGGCATGGGCGCAACATGGCGCAACCATATCAACTATTTCCTTGTTGGAATTCTGCAAGCCTAGTCACAGACTTGGGCATGAGATTGTTTGAATTAGTTTCAATAAGACCTCGGTTGGATACCAGTTGTACTGCAGTGGTTCAAGCACTATTTTGGAACGTTGCCATGTTGTTTCTTTCTCGTTGCCATGTTGTTGGCGACATTTTTCACCAGTTCTTTCACAAAGCATGGCAAAACGAAGATTGAACCTGGCCAGAGCATGGGGCACGACCAGGTCACGATGTTGTAACATGTTGGTTTCCACAGCATGTTTGTTTCCAGTTTTAGAATCGCAACATACTGGAGTGGCCTCCATCTGCAAAAAATCGTGATGTTTACGCCTGCCTCTATAGTTGTTGTTTTTTTCCGTAGGTCATTGTTGAAGCAGAACGCGTGTTCACAAAGGAATTCACAGGTTACAGCTGTATCAGCAGAACTTTGCTGACCATGATGAAAACACCACTGCCTAAGCCTGAGCACGACTAGACGTGGGCCGTGACGTGGGTGATGAACTTTTTCCTCAAAATCCCATTGATTCACCTGCTTTGTTGGCTAGATCGGCGAGGCTACAAAAAGGGTGTGCAATGTTGTGAATCTTGAACGGCGAATGATCCGTGCAAGTTACCTGCGGTTCAATTCATGGTGTCCGTTCTGCGCTGCACAAGCAAGGTGAACTGTTCTTGTTTGTCGGGAAGGTTGGGGTGTAACGGCTGTCTTTGCGGCGCTGGGGGTGTTCTTATCATTGTCCGCCCCTTGACCGCCTTGGTGGAATCTATCCCCTGTCGACATGAAATGAAAGCGTCTCGGGAGGGGAAAGAGGAGCGCATTTCGGTTTGAGCACGTTATCAAGTTATCACCTCTGCGTTGGCCGCTGACACAAAGTCCGACCAAGGATGCTAGCTTCTGCTGAGACATCTCGTGCAATCGTAGCGCAGAAGCGATTGTCAAAATTGTCATTTGGGATGGATGATCCTGGCGACCTGTTCCCGGCTGCATGCATAATTCATACATTTACACACTCAAGATAGTGCGCAAACCCAGACGAAGCGAAACCCCAAATCGAAGCGGTGTGGGTGTTGCTTTGTTTTGCCGGGGTGAGCTAAATAAATAAAGATGAGTACAAAATAGTACAAATATGATTTCGAACAGGCGCTGAGCAGCTGTTTTTTTTTCGCAGCTTCAGGACAGTCCCAAATCTGGCGAAGCGCAGTCATTCCTCCAACATCTCACGGCCAAAAACACGTCGAGCATTTTGAAATATATTGAATCCGTTCGAATCATTTGTTGCACAAACAGTGTTTTGAACATGTTTGAACGACTTCTTTGAACAAAGTGTTTCCGGTGTCACCGAGGGCAGGACCCACATCTCCACGGCACAGCGGACGGCCTCCGATCATTTGAGAATTTCACTGTCTCAATCAATCTCAATAAATCTCAATAACCTTATGTAATCCTTATGTAAACCTGATGTAAACCTTACAAACCCGAAAGCCGAAAGCAAATGAAAATGCTGAAATATGCTGAAATCCGCCGACCCCAGGGAACCAGAGCGCCAGAGAAGCAATGCTAGACGGAGAGGTTCAGTAAGAGGTTAGCGAGATTTGAAGGAAATGCATAGGCTCAGTGGAGTGTGGTGACGGAAGAGTTATGATAGTTATGTTAATCTTCTGAAATATGCTGAATGTTGTGTCAACCGAAGGCCCGGGTATCTTTCACCCCCAGGACTTGATGGAGAATTCAATCAATCTACACTTCCAATTGTGCTGCAAACAGCTGCACATGCTCCCTCCTGCGTCAGCGTGACAGGCCCCCTCAAACGCGGGTATGGGCGCTCCGTGGACTCAATGCAATCCTGTGCGAGTCCCAGGCTTGCATGCTCAACACAGATGCCCATTGAAAAAGAAGAAGAAATGGAAAGAAATGGAAAGAAATGGAAACAAATAAGTAGTTCATGTTGTCAATAGATGGCAAGCGACTACGGTGCGGCAGCATGACAAAATCCGAATACTTCCGGCTGTGAGGTCGGCAATGCTGGCCTCCAGTGCTTCCCTGTCATCATCACTAAGATCAGACAGGTCGGGGCCACATTGGTAGTCCTATGCGCGCAATTTCTAACAGCCGGGCAGACCACACATGCCAGACACATGCTATGCAAAATCTTTCTGCAGTGGATTGATGTGAGCTTCGCAGATGTCACGTAGCATGGGACATATCGTGTCTATACACGTCTGTCAAAGCTCTCACCTCATCGTCCTTTGAACTTCTTATCTCGCGAAGGGCCTTGGGTTCAACAAAGCAATCAAAGAAGCAGGAAACGCAAGTGCCGCAAGACAAATATGCGCATACAATATATCTGCAGTCTATTCAGTGTCTGCAAGACTTGAATCGCCATCGAATCTGTCAACTATATAACTTGTCAACTTAACATAGCTTAATCCCTTGGAAATGCCACCAAGTTGGGGCTCAACCACTTGAAGTAAGCTAAGCCTGGGACTGACATCAATGTCCCTTCCTCCTCGAAGCTGTCAGGCTCTTTGGCCACCTTTCCAATCCACCCTTTGAAACAGAAAGAATGCCACTGCCGGAATGCCACTAACCTCAAAACAGACCCAAACGAAAATCAAGCCTCATGCCACTTATGCCCAGTAATGTCAACGCCGGATTAATAAACCATGGTTTATTAATTAGGGGGGTACCCTCCAATAGTCATAATATGATGCTTAAATGGTACCCTCCCAATTAAACAATCTAGGGGTTTATTAATCCAGGGTTGACATTACATCCTAGGGTCCTATAGGTCCTAGTAAGTAGTACACCTGCACCTCAAACCAAAGCATATCGCACGGGCATGTTGGTTTTTGAAATGATTCCACTCCTAAAAGCTTGAACCTTGGTCGGGGTTAGAGTATAAACATTAAAAATATGGTAGACAAACCCACCAACAACAAACAGCCTAATCGGACACCAGAAACTTCCACAAATATCACAAATATTCAGGTGAAAGCACAATTTGCCTCCGTCTCTGGCACTGCCAACCACTCAGCTCGCTGGGCCAACCAGGAAGCCCTAAGTGCGGTGCTGCTCGGTTCTGTAATCTGAGCGGTTCGGTTCGATCGTTGAATAGTTCACAGAAGTTGAGGCCTGCACTTGCCACAGACAGAATGCCCCAAATGCCCACAGACTGAGCAAACCTGCCCATTGGCCCGAACGCTATGAAATGAGGCAGCATCTACTGACCGAAGCGGGCCCTGAGATCAACACTGGCGGCGGCGTGGGTGGTTTTGAGGCTTGTCGATCTCCGTACAGATCACTGGCAAAGAGGTCGGGCAGCATGGGAAGTGGATGGAAGTGGTCATGTTTCGTTAGTCTAGTTGCAGTCACGTAAAAATCTGTGGTGGATCGTGCCTTCCCAGCAAAAAACTGCATTCCCATGCTTTCTGCGGAGCTTCAAGCGCCTAGGTACGTGGAGAGACTCTTGAACAAGAGCTGGATACTTCAGAGCTTTAAGTTTGTTCGGAAAGGCTTCCAAGAAAGCTTGGCAACAAAGAGAAACTTTGAGTTGGAAAATGCACTTGATCAATGACTCACTCACTCAGTCACTGACTGTCCCACATTGGAACCAGAAAAGATAAATTTAAATGGGCAAAGTACTGAGTATTCTGCAAGTAAAGTGCATGCCCTGGGGCAGGAAAGGGTTCAAACACCGCGTTCTTCAACTAGAACGGGTGTCCTTCGAGAAGGAGTGTGGGTACAGGTCCATGCTTGCTTGGACCAACCTGATTGCAACAGCTTGCAGCGCAGCAGCTGCAAGTGTGGAGGGAGGTGGGGAGGTTTTGGTGCAATCACTGCTTAAATGGGTGAGGGTGTTTGCGGCCGATGGTTCAGCATAGCAATCGCTGCTTCATGGTTCTGTTTGCTCTGGCAAATTGTAGATAGGCATGCCGTTCAGGCACTTTTTGCAAACCATAACTTGTCCAGTTGATCAGCTGGTTGCTCACTCACTCCTTCATTCGCTTGAGCAATGAATGTTCCATTCAGCCAGCTCATTTACCGTATATCAAGCACATAAATTATTCACTGCGCAAGCTGATTTATATACCCGATCAATCAATAACAGTCAATAACCCTTTTTCCCAATCTTTTCTATGGGTGCTTTCATCCTTCATGAAGCTTGAATGGATCCTTTGGATGCTCTCTATATATATTCTATATGTATTACAACATATTACAACTGACAACACAGTTAAAATAGTTGAAATCGAAAGCAGTGGTCAAAACACGCAACAAAAACATCCTGACTTGGCGGCCTTGGTCACGGCTTCGAGACTTTTTCTCACCTGCCCAATTTTTTTTCACCGCACCAGCAGAGTATCCTTGAAAACAATTCAACAAACATCAACAAACGACTTAACCCACAGCAATGTTTGCTGTATTTGCTCATGCGTCCATGACTCGACAACCGATCAAGCAGCATCGAATTCAGAAGCGACATGAAAGCGACATGAACAGCCTGATGAAAGCGACATGAACAAAATTAACAAATCATCCTGAGTCATCCTGTGATTTGACTACACTCAGCCTGCCGGTTGCCAGGCTCTAGCTTTGCCGCGCACAACAAATCCTTCCTGGCAAACGTGAAGTTGATACGTATTGTCATTGCAGCATGAAAGTCCTTGTTAACTGCTTCTGAGGCAGTCAAACGGATGTCGATTGGACAAAGGGTTGAGACATGTTGAGACATTGCATGCTGTGACCTTGCAGCTTGGAGGATCGGCCGTGGATTTTCAGACCTGGGCGAGGCGCTGTTAGAATGAGACGAGAACAAAAGCTCATGTCATCAGCATAAATATATATATGTATATATATATACATATATCATATATATATACATATACATATACATATACATATATATATAATTATATATGTAAATTACATTATATGTTATTGTGTAATATGTGAATATTATGGAAGTATCTTTTACTGATTGCAATTACATACATAGGTACTAGGGCAATGAAACTAAATAATCGAAAGGGGGGTTCTGGGCAGATGGTGATTGTCGGACCGGTTCCAGAATGTTCCAGACATATGTCATATGTCCGGCCCTCTGGGCCATTGGGGTCAATCTTGAACAAAGACAAGGAAAAGGTACCAGATGAGGAAGAAAAAGAAGAGGAAAGCAGGAAAGAAAAAGAGAAAAAGCAACAGAAAGAGGAATGAGAAGAGGGATACATGTTAATATCTAAAAAGGAGGAAAAAGGAAGAGTAAGAAAAGGAGAAAAGGAGAAAAGGAGAAAAGGAGAAGGTACAGCGACTAGAGGAATAAAAAGGAGAAATCTTCAGAGAAATACGAACTGCGGGGACTTCACCTTCTCTCCAACATTGCATATTATTAAATATTTATTCTAGAATTTTGATGAGAAGCTTGCGTTTCCTCTTTGTAAAGTCACTTTAACTTATGTTTTTGCACTGAAAACCTGCTACTGTATCATTTGGATTCATTTGGATGATCGCATCTTGGTCGGCACTTTCTGACGACAATTGCGCTTGCTCTGTTTCCGAAGGCAAATCAACAAAAAACTCAACACGTTCTGCTCCGATGACAAGGCCCTGCCAAACCATCAGCCTAATCAGCCTATCAGCTCTGAAGGAAGAGTTCTTGCAACAAGAAAAGGAAAAAAATGTGTTTTTTTCTCGAAAAAACGTGTCAAATTTCAGGCATCTGCTTTTCTGCCAACGCTTGTTGCGCCAGGCCACGTCGGAAAAATGCCTGCCAAGCCAGCCAGAATCAACAGGCCCAAATACAAGATCGGGCAAGATTGGGCAAGATCCTTACGGTAAAATGGCCTTAGCATTGGCTGGACACAACACCAGTACTTCGTCGCACAAAGTGATCACCTCAGGTCGCACGAGGTGATGTAAAATCCGCCCGCACCGAAGGTGCTGGGGCGTGATCGTCCGGATGGCACTCGTAAAAGGTTACAGGTTTACCTGGGGGGGGGGGGCATTTTTCGGCCAAAACCTCCTGTTTTTGATAGGTCGTGACGCTCGCCTTCAAAAAACACTGTAAAAAACAGTACGGAAGACACCTGTTCGTGAACGCGCCCGTCCAAAATCGGCAAGCGAAAAGTGAAAAAAACCCGTGTTTTTCAACTTTTTGACCTCAATTTTTTAGTTTGCAACATCTTTTTTTGCGGTTCCGCAGGTGGCCTGGCCCGGAGGCGGATTTTTGAGTTTTTGGACCCGTTTTCGGACTGATTTTCGTCGTTTTGTGATAGCAGAAACACTGGTTTTTACATGTTTTTCTGTTTTCTGCATGCTTGACGGCTAGCTTCAAAACTTCCAAAAACCTCGTAAATTACGCTGTTTTATGTTACGGTGTGAATGAAAACATCGTAAATACCAGTGTTTTTTGACGTTGGTTAAAAAAACACTGTAAATTACAGTGTTTTTGGCCACCTGACCCTCAAAAACCATGGTATTTGCAGTGGTTTCTGCTTCTCACCGCGCAAAAACACTGTAAATAACAGCAATTTCGCCGTTTTTTCATGTTTTTCGTTATTTTTTGAACTGCGTTGGTCCGCTATACAACGATGCGGTGCGGGCGGTTGCCGTCGCGAAGCGACGTGAATATTGTAAAATTGTATAAAATGATGTAAAGATATGTAAAGTGATACACAGGATCAATATGATCAGTATGGATCAATATGGATCAATATGGATCAATGTCATATGAGTCAAATGTAGTTCACAAGTGGTTCACAAGTGGTTCACACTGGGAGACTCAGCATCCTCCATGCTGTCATCTAGCCGCAACAAAGCAGCTGCTAAATTCAGTCTGACCTCGCCAGGGCGGCCCGAAACTGTTTCAGGACTGGAGTGCAGCGATCAATGACACCGGCATCCCATGGCATCCCATGGCATCCCTGGCAGCTTCTGTCACATATTGTCACATGCTTCTTTGCTTTTCTATGCTTTTGTCACTGAGGATCTGCACAGGCACTTGTAGTGCCTTAGACCATTCTGGGCGATTAGAATCGTGACATGATAGGCACTCGACGACATTCTCAACATTCTCTATCATTGCAGCCATGCAGCTTCCATCTGACTGCTTTCAGACGCCCGCACGAGGGCCAAAGCCTGCGGCAACAGCATCACCCTACATTCGCAACTCTGAAACTGAAGAAATGCAAGACTTGCTCGTCCAGATGTATTGGTTCTTTGACGAGCTATTGCAAGGTCTTGCAACTTGCAAAAAGGATCAAGGAAAGGCCCTACAAGCAGCAAACGCTTGACTAATTTAAAACTCACATTTACTAATTAATATCATATTATCCATTCCTTTTCTGCAACCGTAAACTGTGTCAGGCGGAAGCAGAGACAAGACCAGGAGTGGAGCTGCAGCAAGCTTTATTTGTTTATTTATTCCTTTATATTTATATTTATATGTAAATTCATATATATATATATATGTGTATATTTATTTTTATACGTGTTTATTTGTGTGTGTATTTATTTGTGTATATTTATTTATTTACTTATTTATTTATTTAATTTATTTATGTATTTTTATGTTATTTATTTATATATCTATTATTTGTTTATTTATCTATGTATTTTTGTATTTTTTATTATCAATATAATTATTTAATATATATATATATACATACATATATTTATATATATAATTATATAATAATACGTATAGCATTTTTGCAACTGCAGGTCATTGCAACACAGCCTACTGTACCAAACGTGGTGGCATGAAGGGATTCATTTGCGGTCGCCTCTCCATAGCAACGTGCTGCATCTGCAAACTGTCCTGCCTGACGTCATATCATGGAGCCACAAAGTGGAAGTGAAAAGCACCAGGATCTACTAGGATCTACCAGGATCTAAAGATCAAATGCTAATCCCTCTCCATGGCTCTCCATGGCTCTCCATGGCTCTCCATGGCTCTCCATGGCTCTCCATGGCTCTCCTCAAAAAGTTTGTTGCCCTGCTCCCGCAGTTCTGCGGCAGCTGACATGACCTGCACTTGCATTCTGTTGGATCCAGCAAAGTTGGGACGGAGGAACAAAGTTGAACTCTTCAAAGGTCCGACCGGTCCGGTGAAATGAAAGCACACATATTGAAAGCACAAACAGCTTGTGAACGGCAGCCTGCCTGCACCACATTGGGCAGAACACTTTGCATAAGCAGAAGTGACCATGTAATGACGATGCAATGACTTATGTTTGTTTTCTTCTGGGCTCACAGTGGCTGGACTGGTGCATCTTATTGCTGCAGAGAAATATTCAAGTGTATAGTTGGCATGCCACATATTTAGCAGCTTCAGTCAACAGCTTGTGCTGGCATGATGCGTGACTCAAAAGCTGTCTGAGCTCTTTGATCCCACGTGAAAGCAATGGTTGCAATGGTTGAAATATGTGAACAGTCTTGAAGTGCACGAGCGGACCGCATTTACAGCTGGTATCAGTTGGTGTCTATTTTTCCTGCTCATTCACTCCTTTCCACCAGATCTGACGAACAACCTCGGAATCCACGTGCATTTGGTTAGAGTATGTTAGAGTCAAGTGTCACAAGTGTCACAAGTGTCACAAGTGTCACAAGTGTCACAAGTGTCACAAGTGTCAACTGTCAATGCATCGATCGGCTCACAGCTCTAAAAATCAGCTGAGATACAATCGCAGCAGCTGCCGCTGCGCAACAAGTTCTCTCAGCGCTGCATCGGTGAGCTCCTGTGAAGATCTGCAAAGCGTATGGCTGAGAAATTGAAATTGACAAAATTGACAATGGATACAGTGGATACAGATCAAACTGATCAAACGGCAAAATTTCAGCGCGAACGAACATTGCAAGGAACTCAACTGGCAATGTGTCCTTGATATCATCATCTACGAAAAGTCCCGTCTTTTCCTGAGATGAAAAGGAAAAGTTGGGAAAAGTTGCAGGACCGTCGGACCGCTCCAAATTGAATGGACATCCGCCCAAGGGATGGCCTTGTCCATGGCCTCAAGGATTACCGCAGCCTGGGCATCGTAAATAGGTCTCACTGTGTGACAGTCGAATCAAAACTGCAAAGATCAAGAAAGTAAAGCACTGGAAGGTTCATGGACTTCCTGCGAGTATGATTTGAGAGCATACAAAATATTGAAATATTTGAATGTCTGCGCATGTCTGCGCGTTTTCCATGTGGGGATGGGTCAAAACCCTATCCCCCTGGTGAACATCAAAATAGCTGGTAAATGGATGTTCATCCCCCTAAAAATGGTATGTATAGGTATTGATCCATAGCCATGTTTTTCTGCTTCAACTTGTCAAGCTTCGTCGGCCGCTTCCTTTCAGTTCCTTGCCCTCAGTGCCTTCGAGTCCAAGCCTTCACGCTTGACACTCCGCACCCAGACATTGCCCTGCAAGCCTCTCAAAGAGCTGAACAGATTCTGACAACATACATAAGAAATGTGAAGCACATGTGAAGCACATGAAAGGCACATCCCAGGTGTCAGTGTGTACATCTCAACTCCTTTTCAAGCGGTGGGATACCTGACCGATCCTGACCGTATAATACGGAATGTAAGTTTGTCATAGTTTGTCTGCGTTGATCTTACTTTTAAGGCTTTAGCTGATCTTCAGGCAGCTTCGGCTAACAGCCAACAGCTCTTTGATTTCATTAGCTGCTTTCCACTGGAAGCACACAGGAATGCAGCAGCTTTTGAAGCACGCGGCAGCGAAGCCAGCTTCACAGTTTCTTTACACTTTCTTCACAGTTCGGTAGTTCCTCTAAAACCAATTCAGTTCTCTGGGAGCTCATTTGCTGCTCCGCAGTTGCGCCTGAGTTGGGGGATGTATGCTTGACCGACAGTCAGTGCAAAATCGCAAAGTTGTCAAGAGATTGTGGATTCATAGGGAGCCCGGGGGATGGTAGCAAAACATGCTTTCATACTTTCATCAACTTTCATCTGCCAAGACTCTAGGATGGTTTGGACTCTCTCCTGATTGTTGTTCTGCAAGGCCTCAAGCGGTATTTCAAATGCATCAGAGCCTTTCAGGGATCCAAACATCAAAGGTTTGCCTACCAGATCCTACCGGGATTAAGCTCACTGCATCCAAGAGCTGCTGTTCCAGCTCGATGGTGTGACTGGATGGAGATTCACCTTTCGTCACAAAGTAAAAATGAAGACAACAGAGTGTTTGTCATTGACTGTCACAAACATTGTTCCAAAATATCCCAAACATCACCCAACTGGTGGCACTGCGCTTTTTTGAAATACAGAAGATGGATTGCGACACGGAGAGTCGTAGCTGCTTGATAATCATCGCTTTCCACAAAGTTTCAGGTCTTGCCCCCGACCTTCCGCGATCTCGTCTGGTGCTGGAAGCTGCTCCGATGGAGAGGACTGTTTCCTCGAAGGATCAGGTGCGGGTTCTGTCCTGGATCAGCTCAAAATGGCTCATATGTTTTACTTACAAGATCTTACAAAGTACAACTTGCAAACACTGATTGCAAGTCCGCTCAAGGTAAGCCACAGTGTGGATCGGTCATTAGCTTCATAGCATATCCAACGAACCGCATGTACTGCTGCACGTAACTCGATGAAATGGATTGTGGCGGGTTGCTCCTTGGCACCGAATATTCAAGTGCTGCACACATCGCTCCACCAACCTCTTGAAGCACAGCTCTCGGCAGGACCTGGCATGACAGAAAGCACTCTCAGCTCAACATGCTGCATTTTCAAGCGCATGTAACATGTCACATGTAAGTATCACAGGTTGGGTCTGGAAGTTGAGGTCTATCTATGACTCTCTGCAGAAGAAAGATTATTCCACCAACATGAAAGAAACAAAATGGGTCTTCAAAACCGCATTTTTGAGATCAAAAGGTTGTCCGAAAATAATGATTTTGGCAGACAATGTACAGTACTTCGATGCACATCGGAGCCAACGTGGTGCAGGCATCAGGCCCAGTCTAGACGTTGGTTCTGACAAGTTTCTCACCTTTCCCCCCTCCTTCTCTCATGTCCTTTCATTCTTCCCTCCCTCCTATGTTTTTTCTTGGTACGCATGGGATCTTTTACTTGGTCTTGAGATTTTGTGTACCCTCAATTCCTCTTCCGCCACCTCCCTCTTCCTTCACCTCCCCTTCATCCACCCCCGAAAGTAGCGGATCAAGCTTGAACCCCAAAGCTCCGACCCAAAAGCAGTTTGCCAAGTCCATGAACCCAAGCTCCTAGCTCAGACTTCAAACGCTCCAAACACTTCAAACGCCAAACTGCTGAGTCCAAATGGTAAACTCCAAAATTCAGACTAAACACGCATGAAATATACCTCAATATACCTCAGATATAAGCTATGTGTCAGATACAAGTACCTCAAAAAAACATGAATAAATAAATGTGTCAGGCATATCTATAAATGAGGGAATTGCAAAGGTTTGCGTAAAGCACACATGGAGTACATGTCAGATTTAATTTGGAGACTGTGACATATACCTCAAATGCGTGTCAAATGATCTTCGGATGCATTTCAAAATCACGTCAAAACATGTAAGAGGGGATTACTAGAAGTAAAAAGCAATGATGAAAAATGTCGTTGTCCAGATCACACCCCAGCGCCGGGGCATAGTCCCAAGGTTTGCAGAAAATGCAAACCAAAAATACGGAAGTCGTGAAACTTGTGATCGTCTCACAAGACATGGCAGCATTTTTCTGCGTTGGCAAAGAGAAAAGTCCAAAGCATCTGTTTTTCACAACCCAAAAAGAGGTGAGATATGCTGAGATTTGTTTGAGGTTTGAGGGCAAATTGACTGAGAGTCGAATCCAGCTGTGAGAACTCCCAAATAATACTGCAAGCCTCCAGGGGGCTCTTTGGCAAACCAGGTAGGTCACACCTCAAAGCGAAATGCTTGTACAAGTAGGAACAGAAGAGGTCAAATTGGGATGCAAAGGATTACCATTCTGACATTGAGCCTGTGACAAGCAAGTATTAGTGAAGGCATCCATAACGTACAAAGTGGACTCTTGCGAAGGGAGAGCTATCCTTGGTTGCGATTTCACAGCGTTCAATGCTTAAAGAATATCGACATGATGGAAGTCACCTGAACATGATTCAGCTTGACGTGGATCTGTATCATGATATTTTGTTTATGTTTTTATGATGGTCCTTATGTGCCGATTTCTCGCCCGCCTGCTAGCTTCTCCAGGCTCAAGTTCCTCTCCTGCTGCACCTCAAACAAGCAAAACAAAACATTGGTTGAAAAATGGTTCAAAAAGATCGACACAGGTCATCACAGGTCAACAAAATCTACCAGCTTTTGTACGCCCCGAGGTCTACACCAAGGCCCAGGGAGATCTTCACGCTGCGTTTGCTGCGGTTGAAAACCTCAGTATACGCGGGTTCCAACATGTTCCAACTGTCAAAACACATGTCAATAATTGTCAATATGTCACTCTGCCAGTCTGCCATTTCAACACCTTTCATTCAAAAACATCGCATTTTAGTGACGGACTGCAAGTTGCGGTGCTGCCTCTTCAATTGGTGGATGGCTCGCGTGCTTCCTTGACTTGGTCCAAGTGCCCAAGAAAATCAAATCAAGCTCGTGTTCACAGTGGAAATTCAGTTGCTGACAGCCAGCGATGAGCTTGAGGCTTGCAATAGACCTGACTCATCTGGGTGGAATCATGTAGCATCACACAAGTGACAGGTTGCAACAATTTCAAGCAAACGTTGAATTCACAAAGCGAGAAAAGGACTCTAGTTATATAAGTTATGTAAGTGATATACTCTAGTTCTACTTTCAAAAGCAACTGGTTCAACTGGCCCTGGCCTTGGGGTTGATCTGCGGCCCAGGGCCCACGAAGCCACTGGCAGAACTCTGGCTTTCAGTGAACACAAAGTGAGGTGCTTCAACAATCTTCAACACTGGATTACAGCAGATTTGCTAAATACTCAAGACTTCTGGCAAAATAAAGTGGAGTGCCCCACACGCCTCTGCGGCCCCATGCCGAACCATTCTGGCGCAGCTTGTTCCCTGATACTGAAGGTGCTCCCGATGACAGTGACACCATCCTGGTAGGGAGCTGCACAAGGACGGCAGGATCATATGCGGTAGTATCCGCAAATCGCCGTCTATAGGACGAGCAAGAAGATGGAAGACCTGGAGATGTTTCTGCTGCTTCTGATTCTGTGCATGCTCCGTCCTCGGCATACAAGAACTCTTTCTGCAACTCTGAGGAGGATTGGCCCATGGCATCCACTGCTTGAATTGGCAAGTTCTAATGTTGCTCTTGTTGCTCCATGTTGTTCGAACACTTTGTTCCTCTTGCTCTTCACTTGCTGGTCAGTAAGCTCTAAGATCTGTCCTTGCTTGACTCCTTAGGATGCAAGCTGAAACCCAAGCTGATAGGGTACAGTAATACCAGGAAACCGGTATCATGTAGAAATGTAGCATCCCCCCTGCTTCTGAAACCCATGTGAAAGATTGTGTGCAGACTCCTTTGTGACTATGTACAGCTGAAGTTGAGAGGCCAAAGAGTCACATTCACTCATCCAGTCATCCGCTGCCACAGTCTGCATAAAAAAAAGAACTTGCACAGAGCCGTTGGGAAAACTTGTCGACAGGCCTTTGGCAGAGGATTTGTCTGGCCTTGAGACATCTTGCAAGCGATATTCTCGTCTGAGCAAATCTGAGAAGAAACTGGAGAGAACAAATAATTGCAACAAGATGCCCATCTGGTCCTGTTCCAGCATGAATGCCATGTCGCTTGAGAAAAACCACTATGTCCTGACATGAATGTCAGAAAATCAACGGCTCAAACAGTTAACAGCTCCACCTCGCCACCCCATGACCAAAACGATTGCTTTTCCAGCGACACCAACCCGATCTGTCAATATACCCAAGCCAACCACATCCACCCAGCCTTTGTGAAGTTTGGAAACTGTTAGGCGCGAACATGCACGAATCATCATGACTTTCTTGGAATGCTTGGACACCGGTCAGCTCAAATGTCCTCACTTCGGGAGCTCCGGGTTACAATGAGCACACTGGAGTGAGTGCGGCACACTGTGACCTGAACGGGCTCACGTTTACTCACATGTTGCTCATGTTTGTTCATGTTTGCTCCTTCTGATTCTTATTGATATATCATCTACAGGGAACCGACAATGTCACGCCTAAGTCACTCCTTTTGCTTTCCCCGCTTGTGAACGCAACATCAAAAGTCATGCCATGCCTTTTGGTCTTCCCCCATTCTGAAATATTCTGAACGCACGCATTAAAACATATTAAAACAACCCTTTCACAATATATCACATCTTGGATTTCTTGTCTCCGTGTTCACTTCGCTTTTTCTGATGCCAACATCACAAAGGTCCTGGCCAAGTCGGCATCGAGTGAATGCATGCCCTGCAAGGGAGATGCACCAGCCTACAGAGGAAGCACCAGTGATACCGAGATCAGAGTGAAAGGAAATGTGTGTATTTCTACTGATGAAAAAATATTCTGGAGAGGGATATAGCCAAATAGCGTGAGATATCTGAGGAAGCGAGATCAGTTGAATGATAAACAGAAATCAATTCAAACATAATTTAGAATTTGAAACGCATCCTTGCCAAGGCCTTTGTAGTGCATAGGGTTCGGTCAAAGTCCAAGAAGACCAAACTTGGTTGCCGCTGGACAACCAGTTGCCATACCTACCAAGGAAAGGCAACTTCCCTGCCTTCAATAATCTCCAATGATCTCCCATCTATGTAGCCCACTGCCTGGGAATCTACTTCTAACATCTTCTAACCACATAAATGGGGCTGCAAGATGAGCCCTTGTCTTCGTACGTTGTAGTTCTCCATCCATTGAGGTACCAACTCAAATTCTTTTCCTGGCGCTTGAATGATCTGCAGAAGTGCAAACGAGCAGCATCTTCTCCATCACCGCGAAGAAGTTGGCACTGCTCACAGGACCATTGTTCGCAAACGATGCCTTGGATGTGCAGAAAAGGAACCCTTAAGGTAAGGCCATGTAAGGCCCAATGTCCAAGTTTGTGGCCCACCACATGCTGTCGAAATGCATCGTTTTTCATGAGGGCAAAAGCTGCGACTTCCACATCGATCACCTCCATATGGACAGCGCCTCACAGTGACTTGCGATATCTACACATTTCTCGCTTCGCCAATGTCAAGTTTGGTGGAGTTAATTGAATTGAAATTGACATGTGTATATATATATATCCTAGGGTCCTAGGGCAAATTCCGTCAAAAATACCAAGGGCCAGACCCTTCAGATCTTACGTTCGCTTCACACAGGAGGCAAAGAGACCTGTGAAGCCAAAGCCTGCTCAGCTGGACCTCGGACAAACCCACGTCGAAAAAAGATTGCAGAAAATTGATGAAAATGGTAAAAGATGGTAAAAGTACACAGCAACACAAGGCAACACAAGGCAACTTGATGTTGCGGGTTGTCAGGGCCACAATGCTGAGGATTCTGCCAAACACATGCGACACTGCTGGCAATGTCCCTGCAGGACTCGTTAGTGACCAAAAGGGGGACCAACAGCGGGAAAACAGAGACTACAAGACAAGCAAATATACATCAGATAGAATCTGACTATACAAGTTCATAATATAGTTAACTGTTCATACAAGTTCACATAGTTCACAGCTCTTTGATTTTGAACGGATTCGAACGGTTCGAGCACCTCATTCGCAGGTCGAGCTGATCTTGGCCAACCAGAGCCTCCAGGAGCCAATTCTGCGAGCATTGCCTCCGACACTTGGCACAAAATGCAATCAGCTCACAGCCTCGCAAGATCTCACAAGATCTAAATGCGGTCGTCACCACAAAAAAGAGATGTCAAACAATGGTCAAATGTTGAGATATACAGTTAGTATCTGTTGATATGTAGTCATGATACAGCTGATGGGCTTGGATGGGCTCAGATGGGTTCAGATGGGTTCAGATGGGTTCAGATGGGCTCAGATGGGCTCAGATGGGCTCAGATGCATTTGACTTATACATGGCCAGTACAGCACATAGCAAAATGAACGGGTACAAACAAAGCAAGGAAAAGAGGAAGAAGAAAAGAAGAAGATCATATGAGAAAACAACTAACATGACTATGATCAGCGTCATCTTCGTCATCTTTGGGATCGGCGTCCAGATGGTTCAATATCACCCAAGTAATGGCTCAGCCGCGCATTGATCTACATCTTATAAATATACTTCATATAATAAATTGACAATGAAGATTAATATTATAAATAAGTTTTCAAAGTACACAACGTTGCAACTCGTGTACTTGCGCTCCATACAAATCTAATGCAGTTTCTCTGCAAGGCATCTGGGTTGCTTAATGGCAACATTTCTTGAGACAGAACCAAGACATACGTGGGGAATGAACAAAGCAGTGCATGCCGAGCTTGACACTACAACTGTACAGCAGTCGAACTGATTTTACGATATCTTGCGCGCACGCGAGATTGAAAGATAGAAAGAGGGAGAAGGACGAGAAACTCGGTGATTGAAGCTGGTAGATCCAAATAGCTCCCTCTCTTGACGTGGCAGAAAGATAAAGGAACCACAAAGAAGCCACAACGAATATCAAAGAATCCAGCGGTCCTGTTGGTCTCCCGAGCATTCTCAGCTGTTTGACTCGAGGTACCGAGATGATGTGCAAGGTGCCTCGCGATGACCACCGAGGCAAATAGCAGAGCGATGCCTCACGAAGGACTTAGGACACACCGGGTAGAGCACATCAAGTGGCTTCAACCAACTGCTTTCAGCTGCTTAGTTCAACTTGAACTGCGTTCAATTGAGCAGTCACAGGCCTTGCTAAGAGATCTGGGAAGCCTGACGAACTGCGTAAAAGAAATTGCGTAAACTGCATAAGCTGGAGTCCTGCAGCAAGAGCATTCCGCTCTATTCCACTCTCTTCCCCTCTATTCTAATTCTGTTCCTACCCAATTTTGGGAAATGGCACGACTGGTCTCTCCACTTTCCTCGCGGGACAAAGGCTGCAGCGCCGCGAGAGCCCGAGACCTTGACATCTGGAACATGGACACATGGCATCGCAGCATCTTTCACATTCACATATACATTCACTGAATTTAACTGACATTAAATGAATTTAAAAAAATAAATAAATCTTCAAATACCTTCAAATCTGATTCTTATCTCACTGAAAGAGTTAAAACATCTTCTGCTACGACGCAATCAAGACCCAGCCCATGGCAAAAAGTCGAGCATCATCTGCCCCTCAGCTGAAGCACGTCCAGGTGAACTATCGCTCTGTTTCCAAATGCCATATGCAAAACTGTCATTATATTACATTATCATATGCTAAAATGCAAGTGGTTATTTGCAAATGGTTCGCGTTCACTGACGAGTCAAAAACTCAAAAAGTAATCGGTGATTGCAACATCCCCTGCACCCAGTAGCAGCTCAGTAGCACGGCCCAGCAATGGCACATAATGGCACCCAGCAGCTGAACCATTCCCAGGAACACAGCAGCAAGCGGAAGTAAGCATCAGCAGTAAGCAGCACTGACCATTTCCTGTCATTTCCTGAAGTAAAAAGATCCAAAAAAACGCAAAGATCGGAGAAGATCGTTCCATGGACCGCATGCGCTGGTCTCAGACCAGCTGCAGCGGTCTTGAGTAGCCCGGCACATGGAGTGCCCTGGTGTCCGCAGTTGGTTGGCCAGTTGGCCAAATTTGCTGACAAGGCTCTCATTTCAGAAATTGGTTCCAGCCATCGCAGCATCTCCTCCAAGACCTCAGTCGAAAACATCGCAGATCTGTCAGAATCAGAAGCCGCCACAAGTATAATGCCAGTAGTACCACACAAGGCGGTGGCAGAAGATTCAAAGATAGGAAACCTATTGGAGAGGTCTGGTTGTTGCAATGGGATGGCAGAGCGAACCCGCTGATGGACCGAAAGGTGGTTGGAGTTGTGTTTTTTGAAGTGGTTGCAGCGATCACCGGATGCACACCTGCTGGATGTAGTGTAGCGCAGTTGTATTTGTAGTTGTAAAGTAGCGTAGTGTAATGGAGTTGGAGTTGTAGTGTAGTTGTAGTGTAGTGTAGTTGTAGGTGCAGTGGTAGTGGTAAAAATTAGTTGAAGTTGATGTTGTAGCGTAGTGTAGTGCAGCGCAATGCAGGGCAGTGTAGTGTAGCGTAGGTGTAGCGTACTGGATTGTAGTTGTTCTTGTAGTTGTAGTTGGAGTGTAGTGCAATTAGTGTATGGTAATTAGTGTAGTGTACAGTAACAAGTGCAGTGTAGATTATATAATGTAGTGTCGTGTAGTTGTAGTTGTAGCTATAGCTGTAGTTTCAGCTGTACGTGTAGTTATAGATTAGGGAGAAGCACAAAGTCTCTCTGAGTTTCAAACCGTGCGCTGTTTATTGTTGTTTGTTTTTGTTTATTGTTTTTTTAGTGTTTTGTTTTGTTTTTTGTTTGTTTGTTTGGTTTGTTTTTTTGGGGGGTGTTTTTTTGGTTTGTTTGTTTTTTGTGTTTTTTATTATTTGCTGGTTTCCAGTAAAATGAAGCCTTTTGCATCATAAGTGTAGCTGTGTAGTTCCAGTTGTTGTTTTAGTGTCTTGTAAAACTTGCAGTTGCAGTTTGAGTTGCAGTTGTAGTGTCAGTGCTAGTGTTAGTGTGAATGTTATTGTTCACTTTTTCGACATGTGGTCCGGGACCGTCAGTTTTTAACACTTTTGACTTGCGAATGTGCTTAGCCCCACGAGGGCGTGCACTTTTTCGACATCTCAACGCCCAAAAATGGTCCAATGCCGTCAGTTTTTAACACTTGTTGACTTCGAAATGTGCTTTGTGCCACAAGGGCGTGCACTTTTTCGACATCGCAACCCAAAAGTGGTCCGAACATGTGGTGCTTTTGGCGTTTTGACTTCAAAATGTGCTTCGCGCCGCAACGACGTGCGCTCTTTGAACATCTCAACTCAAAAAAGTGGCTCGGAGCTGAAATGCTTTTAACATTTTGACTTCAAAATGCTCATCGCGCCACAGCCACGTGCGCGACCGCCGCTTTAGCGAGCCTACTTTTCGATCCTCCTGGGCCACAAAACATCGGAAAAACACGGTGTTTCGCAACTTTTCTACCCTTTCGCGCACCTGCATCTTCTTTCTTCTTCCTTTCTCTTCTCTGACTCAGCCGACCTATGCTTTTCCATCTCTCCATCTTATACTTCAGGCAGATCTGTCACATGATTGGGATTCAGGCAGGAAGCATTCCCTTGATCATCAACAAGTGGCGAGTGCCATGCAAGTGCAGCCCAGCTGAAATTGCGGTACTGCTGAGGGACCTCATTTTTTTCTTGACATTGTTGCTTTTGACATGAACGCTACGGCTTCTCTCGACGTTGTCACAAAATTTTGCAAAAAAAAAACGTAATGCTGTCGAAGAATATCAAAAGGCTTTCTTGGTGGCATGTCGCAGCATGCCGTAGCTGGGTCCCAGGAACGTTGAAGAGGGCTCCAGCAGTTCCTGCAGCTCGCAGCTTTCATTGAAAGACATCGCCATTGCAGCAAGACATTGAAAATCATGGCAAGAGGGGTAAGACTGTGACTAAGCCTTGAACAATTTGAATATGACTGAAACCATGAAACCAAAATATAGAAGGAGCATCCTAAGGAGAAATCTTCCTTGAAGCGTTCTTCCAGGCGCTTTGCCCAATCACAAGCCTACCAAGGTCAGCATCAAATGGGAACAGTCTCAAAGGGAAAACGATCAATCTGACGATCAAAGAGTTTTGATCAAAGTCGGACAGTTGTCGCACCATGTCGCACCATGTCGCACCATCCTTGTGTTCAATCTGAGATAACTGCCTGTTGAAGTGCCGCAATGTAGCGACAAAGCGCTGACCGAATGGCCAACGCCTTGAGTGGGTCTTATCACTTGGATTAACTTCATAATTGAAAATGCCAAAGGGACGCCAAAGGATTCAGTAATTCACAGTGTGATGTAGTGATACAGGTCCGTTGCTAAGTGTAGTCCAAACTGTCCAAAGGCCTTGGAAGCTCCGCGAGCAATTAAAACCAGCTCCACATACAGCAGGGCTCGCCTGATACACTTGAAGCTCTTGAACAAAGGGCAGACCAAACTTATCCAAACCATACACTTAATAAACACTTGCTTGGATGTTGAACCAGGGCAGCCACGGTGGCAGCCGTAGTCCTGTGGCCTGCATACAGATTTTAGGACAAATCAGATTGTTTTAGATTCCACTTAGACTTCGTTGCGGTTCAAAAACCATTCGGTGGGAAGCGAATGAAGGTGCCTCAATGGAACATAGCATGCTTCGAAGGCCTTCAGAGCCTCGCTTGCAAACTCTGAACAAAACAATACTTGAGCTCCGATCTCTCGATCGTTCCTGCAGAAATCTGGTCATGTACAGCAAGTACTGGGAAGCGCCTAGATCCGACTGCACAAACTTCCGCTCTGATTTCCACTGCCTGCCAAAGTCTTCAACATGTTCTTCAGTAGATGTTTAGAGTTTGCCACAGCATTGCCAAATAATTTGATGCGTTTTGTATGGTGTGCTTTGCTTTCTCCGCCTGGTGCACAGTTTCGGCTTGCTGGGCTTTGTGACCATCACCTCTTCCTCTCCTTCTGGCGTCTCAGGCTTTGTTGGTGTTTCATCTTGATGGATAGACGCAAAGAAGACATCCATCTGCTGGTAGTTCTCCAGGAAGTGCTGAGCTTGTTCTAAGGGTTTCCACAGCTCAAGACTCTGTGGTAGAGCTTCAAACTTCCACGGCATACCGGTCTTGACATGTCGGGGCAAGGCGCAAATCGCCTTGCTAAAGTGCCTGGCATCAAAAATCGCCGCCACAGCACCTCGACACTCGTTGAATGCATTGGCGATTTCAACATATCTTTGACGACGAGCATCTGGAGCTTTGCCATTCACGAGCTCGCAGTAAAAAAAACTGGCAAGCTGCCGGAGGTCTTTCTCGACAGCAGCGCCTGCCTGCCACATGTGCAAACACAGCTTCTTGTAGTTAATCAATTCTCTCCTGACCGCCAAGCAGGTCTGAACTACGTCCTTGAAGCAATTGAGAATCAAATCTGCTAAGTCTGATGAGAAAGCTGCCCGGATATCTCGTTCCACCAGGCTCCAATCACCCTGACCAAACGACAGGATGTTCTCCTCCGAAAGGTCCAGGACACACGGTCCCGGCACCTCTGCAAGTTGTGTTCGGATGTCTTCACTAAAGTCTTCAAGATCTTCAAGGGACTGCCACTTGCGCAGCTCGTTGTTGAACCTCTCGACATCTCTACACTCCATGGACTCCATGGCCCCATATGGCCCAGAAAACAAATGCTACATCGCTTGGGCAGGACGTCATTTGCATCCAAGAATGGCTTGCCTCCGAATCGGTCAAATACTGTATAAAATCATATCTTAATATCTTCATATCTCATTGGTCTCAATCGTATCTGCCATTCGAGCGGCGTGCTGAATGTGGGAAATTGAAGATGCACCCAATCACAAATGTTTTTACCTTTTGATCTTTTTGTTCGCGATCAACGCGATCAACGCTCTCAGAGTAATTTGATAGCTCTTACTTGGAAGGTCTAGAAAATATTTGGAGCAGTGTATTTGCATGGGTGGCATTTGCAGGTGACATCATATATGAAAGCCAAGCAGGCTATTTGTCCGGGTCATAGAACATTGAAGACGAAATCACTGCAAACATCAGCAAACGCTTCAAGTCAGCTTAAAGTCAGCTGCAGCTCATGAGTGAAGTGTTGCACTGTTCCACATGCAAAAACTGCAGCGGGCTGTCAAGGTGGAACCATTTTCTGTTGCGTGAAACCACAATAGCGTGCCACGGCAATAGACTTGCTGTGGAGTTCGTTAGCAATTGACTCACAAAATCTAAATCTGCCAAAGGCTGCCCTGCATGCGACCCCCATTTAGGACGTGATTATCCACAACCAGTTTGTAAACAAGAAAAGATAGTGATAGAGTCTGATAGAGGTGAGAAATTCAGCGGAAAGGTGAGCCATGTTGTGTCTTTGGGTCGAGGAAAACTGGTGGGAACCTTTGCCCTGTGGGATCTGTGAGTTTCTGTGTGCACACAGCCCACTCATCGAGTCTTGGAGCCCACATTCTTTGGCGATGCTCCTATTCTAAACTGGTTTTCATCGTTTTCATCGCAACATGAATGCTGTGATAGAATGAACGAGAACATGTGATTCGTTGATTCGTGGAGCATTCCTCTTGTCTATGTACATGCCTCTGAAAAAGGAATTTCAGGAAATTTTGGGATGAATGCAAATTGGATCCAGGTCCTCCACTCTTGGCTTTGGCCTTTGCCTGAAGAGTTCGAATGGGATTGACATGGAACGGGGCACTGCTCAGTCTTCCATTTCTTCGCTTTCGTTGAATTTTTGTTTGGTGAGGTCATTGCACGTGCACAGCAAGTGCAGCCCATGCGCAAGTGCAGTGTTTTGAGTGTTTGTGTGCGTGTGCCGTGCATCGGAGTATTATGAATGTTTATGACAGTTCAGTCCGGGACCAGTGTGTCCAGAAAAAATGGATGAAACAAATTGGAAACAAATTGGATGAAACATGATGAAACATGATGAAACAGGTTCAAATAGGTTCAAATTAGGCTAGACTGATTTGAAACAGAAGCGCGCGGCCTGTCTGACTTTGTTCGCAAGGCTTTCTCGAGGCTCCATGGAGACGGGCATCTCTTCCAAAAGAAGCACTTCGCGTGGAGGAGCTGCCCCAGAAGACATGCGTTCCTGTTTGGCCTGACCCAAATGAGGTTCAGGTGGGATGAGATGGCTTGGTCAGCGTCAAAAAGTCATGGTAAGTCATGGAAAGGCATGGAAAGTCTATCTTCTTTTCAACTGTGTGTGTGCTCGCAAATTGTGCTTGATACCCACTTGTCTGGTCAGTGCCTGTCGGAGTGTGTTGGCTAGGCTTTCCCGTTCATCAGCAGCTTCCGCAGCAGCAAGGGCAGCTGCACTGCGAGGCCCGAGGCTCAGGCGACCTGACTTGGTGATCTTCAAGAGGTCCTCAGCGTCAATTCTTGATGCACGGAATGAAAAACTATACACATGCTGTGATTGTTCCAATTCTTCAAGGGGTTTGATCCTACTTGAGTTGGTCAGGATGCTGCTTGAAGCGACGTCACGCAAGAATTACAAAAACGCAATAGCGCTAGCTGTTTCTTTTATGTAAGCTTGTGACCCCACATGCCTTTAGGATGAACAACTATCAAACATGATTAAAATATTTGAAACACTTATCTGTCGATTTTGTTTAACTACTTGCCTGATTTTGCATTTATGTTGGTTTAAATGTTTTTTTTCATGGCTACTGATTTGTTTCACTGACATGTATGGTTTCTTTATGGTGTGCTTTGTGTTTTCAAATCCCCGCTTAAAGTGCAAGGGAACAGGCGCAACATGTTTCAAGACAACGGCGCCGAAGTGACCGGCTGTCAGGCGGAAGCCTTTAAACCCGGCGACGCCGTGCGGCAAGTCTGAGTCATTCGTATTTGTATAACCGTAACCTTTATTATTATATACGTTTATCATCGGGACTGGTGTGCTGGGATTTCCTCCAAAGCAATCACAATCTTGAATATCCAGAATCAATTTGTATCTGCGCAATTAGCTCTTCTGTCAGTTTCAAGCCTGTGTCAAACTTGTCCAAATGGAAGTTCTTGACAAAAGCGCTTGACCTGTGAATAGTCAACCGGGATTGGGAAGGTAAGGTTTCCGCAATCTGCCTCCAAAGGAGTGGCTTAGGATTAGGACATTCCAAATGGCAATGGTGCCACCTGCTGGAGAGGCTCTCCACCAAAGCATTTGCGTTGCGTCCCCGCTTTCGCTTTGGCTTTGGCTCGACTTGGACTTCCAACTCCACGCGCAGAAACACCGGGGTGGCCGGAGTGACCCACTGTCAGTCGCCCGCTCCCTGCCTTGGTTTCGCTCCGAAACAAGACATGATCTTTTGACGACAAAAAATGCATACTGAAGAACACGGCAATTGTCACCAAGTCCGCCAGCTGTCACATCTGAACTTCAAGACAGGCCGCATCACGCACACGCAGCTCCTGATTTGTTCTGCTTCTTGGATCACCGACAGACATCCGCTGGCCCTCAGAAGAACCCCAAGAACAAAAGGAAACTGAAAGCCCACAGAGCTGAGAAAACCCACCAAATCGGGACACCTAAAAATACGACCGTGTCGATCAATGTGCCAAGTTCAGACTTGTACAAGTTGCCTCATGTTCAAGCAAGAGACTTCCATAATAGAAGTATGTCTTGAGACGGCCAGTGCACTTGGCATCGAAGTGTCCTCACTATCGACTTCTAGCAGTTTGATGCGGGGTGCATCTTCAGCCTGCAAGCACATAAGAACCGAAGTACGGAAAAGTGCAAGCAGCGCAGAGCTTGAGAATTCTTCTGACTACAGAATATGTTTCTTCTGACTTTCTGAAAAAGAGCTTAAAGTCCTCTGGCCAAGTTCTGCTGAGGTTTCTTTAAGATCAGCACAAACCAGTATACAAGTATATGCGGTTCTATACCATGCTAAACCTGTTCGTGGAAAAATCAGCTCATTAGTGAAGATCAACTGCTTTGCAGGCCTTCCGAAGACTGTGTTGGGATTCGTTCACTTCTGTCTCAAGCGGTTCCTTCGGCGAAGAGTTCATCTGAAGCTGCTTTGGCTTCAGGTTTTCTACGTTTTCGACTCCTTCATGGCGTTCTAACTTTTCTGCCCTCTCAACTGTCTGAGTTTTTTCCGCCCGGTGACGGTGTGAAGCATCCGTAGCATTCGCAGCATCCTTGGCACCTACACCATGTGGAGCATCTGCCGAAGCTGACGGTCTCGCTTCAGGCCGAAATGTACCAGGTGCCACTGAAGCCACTGCCCCACCTTTCTGGATGCCAGAGGCACCAACGTCACTGGCTCCAGGGCCTCCAGCAGCTCCATCTCCGGCACCGGTATCAGGAACATCCTGGGTTAATTAAAGGACCGGATAACCCCACATGTCAACTTCTTCCAACAAGCAACAAAAGAAAGGTAAAGATGGCATGGGGAAAGCAGGAAAGAGAAAAGAGATGGTGAAGGATTGGTGTGGAGTAAGTTGTGTGTGGAAGAGTAAGTGTGAGTAAGTTGTGTATGAACAAGTTGTGTTGTATGTATGTATGGATGTATGTATGGATGTATGGATGTATGGATGTATGGATGTATGGATGTATGGATGTATGGATGTATGCATGCATGCATCCATGTATGCATGCATGCATGCATGTATGCATGCATGTATGTATGTATGTAGGGCAAGCTGTTTGCGAGTAAGAAGTTTGTGAGTAAGTTGCTTCGCCTTCTTCGGGTTCCACCGGGCTCTGACAAGTTGTGTCTGGACAAGTTGTGTGATGACAAGTTGCGTGTGGACAAGTTGTGCGTGGACAAGTTGAGGACAAGTTGTGCGTGGACAAGTTGTGTGTGGACAAGTTGTGTGATGACAAGTTGTGGACAAGTTGTGTGTGGACAACTTGTGTGGACAAGTTGTGTGTGAACAAGTGCCTGCCACGCGTGTGATGATGAGAAGTTGTGTGATGACAAGTTGTGTGTGGACAAGTTGTGTTACGTGCGACGCACGAAAGCGGCAGAACACCCTTATTCTAAATATATCGGGGTCCTTTTGCTGAGCCCGCCGCGTTTCAATGCTGGCTGCACGCATCTGGACGAAGGCAGTCAGGGGCTCCAGGTGACTGCGCAGCATGAGTCGTAAACCATGAAGCGAAAGGGCAAGGATTTGACTGACGCTTTCATACCAGCACGGGAAGCCTGAGGAGCTGCATGCAGCCGTTCAACCAACAGCATCTTCTGGTGTTGACAAAGCCCCGGGCGCCGCCTGACCAGCAAATTTCGCGAACTCACGCGCGTTTGCTTGCAGCATACATATAATTTGTACGTTAAGTCCCGGATCCGCCTGATGCAACCAGTGGGATGCCCCGGGGCTCCAAGCCCGTAGTATCGGAGAGCCTCCAAGCATGGAGGTTAAGGCCCTTGTGCCGTTGGCAGCTAGAAGCAGCGCTGCTGAGCCCTCCACAACTTCAGCCACGCCGCTGATGGCTGCCACACCTGTCAATAGCTCAAACATGGTTGGGCTCTGGCAAATGAAGCAGGACGTGAAATAAGAAGCAAACAACAGCAGTCTATGGACGTGTTTATGGTGCTGCTGCTCACGCGAATGAAGCTACAGCAATATTTGCCGAATCTGACCCCCCCTCCGCTTCAGCGACCTCTTGCAACACCATCTGGCTGGAGCCGGACGCCTCGTGGACATCACTCGTCACGAGGATTATTGCAGCTGAATGCCATCCCCCCGAAAGCTTT